CTGAAATATTCATTAACCTGGGAGGTAATGTGTGCGATCCTTTGGGATTGGTAGAACTTTCATATACGATTAATAAGATTTTCAGTAATCCTCATCATATTTTACTTGGGTGTCTGGGTGGAGGCCTACGGCTGGGTTACTTCAAGGGAACTGTGTTGTTGGCTTCTGGGTAACAAGAGAGGTATATTCGAAGCTGTTTTGTGGTGGCTTGGTAAATCTAAGTATTGGAATATCCACCAGCTTTGGGGATTGCCTGGCCCATTCTTTGCAGTTCACCCTAATTGTGTGGCCTCATTTGGCTCCCTGGGACTCCGGTCACAATGGCCAGTCAGAATCAGGTCCATCTGGGGGACTCCAGTTTCTGCACGGTGTCATTGGTAGAGTGTTGAGGTCTGGCAGCTCTGATCTTTGGGGCTGTGTCCTGGAATTCGTTCCCAAAGAACTGCCTTTTGGATCCCAGTTTATACAGTGAAACTTGAGTCCTGTGTAAGGGGACTGTTGCCCTTACTAACAGTCAGTGGGGGTGTTTTGGTTGGCTAGCTCCCAGTACTAAAAGGGGAAGGGTCTATGGGAAACCAGGACCCTGAGACTGACAGTCCCCAGGAACAATGGGGAGAGGCCAGTGTTCCACGTCTGCCTGAATGACAGGGTGGGCAGGCTAATCAGGGAGTCAGGAGGCCAGGGAGGTCCTGTCCTCCATGTGAGCTGGAATCGCCTGGGTCAGACAGAGTGGGGCTGAGCTAAGGAGAAAGCAGGGACCCAAGCTAAGCTGGGGAGCAGAGCTGGGCCAGATCCAGAGAGAGCAGACCCTGTCCTGGGAGCAGAGCTGCAGCCCCAAAGCCAGAGGCACAGCCCACAGAGAGCAGACTTGCCCTGGGAGCAGAGCTGCAGCAACCAGAGCCAGAGGGGCTAGAAAAGCAGCCCAGGAAGCAGGTCAGTGCTGGGAGCAGAGTCACAGAAGCAGCCTGCAGAGCAGACCTGTCCTGGGAGCAGAGCTGCAGCAACCAGAGGCAGAGGGGCCCAAGAAGCAACCCAGGGAGCTGGAGGCAGAGCAGCAGCAGCAGTGCTGAGACAGAGTGGTGGAGCTGGGGCTGGAGCAGTCTGGAGCTGGGTGCAGTGAGCAGCTGGGGAGACCGAGGGGGACCCTGGGCAGCAGGCCCAGCACAGGGAGACACCTCAGCCAAGACGCTCTGCAGGCCAGGCTTGGATCGTAACCCCGACAGGGCGGGGGCGACACTGGGAAGAAGGGTTCTGCCACTTAGCGCCTGAGAGCGTGTGGCCACCACCAGAGCAAGTGTCCAACCCGCAGCATCCCTACAGCACAGCCAGGGCCTGAGGAGGAGGCCTGGGACTTACAAGGAACAGACTGAACTGCCCTGACATTCCAGAGACACTGTTTGTGATGTTCCCTGCCACAGAGTGGGGTGATGTGTTTCCTTTAACCTTTCCCATTTTCCCTTATTCTTTTTAAAATTAATTGTTGATTAAATAACTTGCATTTGCTTTACTGGTATGTAATGATCAGTGGGTCAGAGAAGTGCGCAGTGCAGAGAGAGTACCCTGGAGTGGGGACACCCTAGCCCCTGTCCTAGGTGACCACAGCAGGGTTGGGGGTCGAGCCCCCCAGGAATCCTGGGCCCAGCCTTGTTGAGGTTATGAGGACTCTGCCAGACAGGAGAGTGGAAGGGGAGTCCTCAAGGGCAGGGAGGCCACTGGGTAAAGGAAGTGGGAGCGAGGTCTCAGATCCTTTCGCTAGCCCACTTCACAGGGATAGTGCAGAAGCCAGGAAAGTTCCCCACAAGAGCGGGACTATTCCCCCGTTTACACCTGCTTAGCTATACCTTAACCAATCATTATACTAAAATTTTACTAATCAATCCTGACATATTGCAACAAAATTCTCTAACCAATCCTACCCCACCACCTTAATTAATTTACACATAGCAAAATTAATTATGTAACAGAGAAAAACAATGAAAGAACTAGACAGAGATCATACAGATGAACAATAGGGAAGTGGCGACCAGAAAGATAAAACAATAAAGAAATGAGGATTTCACAACCACAACTATTGATAAGTGATTTCTTGCCAGACAGAATGCTATCAAACTAAGTTTTCTTTAATCATCTTAAAATCTGTTTCTTTATCTGGTGATAGTGGGTGCTATTAGAACAGGATCTCCTTAACAGCCTGATATTACACTGTTTTAATGTAATTTAGATGGATTATGAGAATGTGACTTCCTGCTTCTTAGCTAATGGCTGCTGTACTTTTAATATGGCTGCAGACAAAGGCCTTAGGCTTTAGCCTTACAATATGGCTACAGGAAAAGGCCTTGTCCTTACAAGGGGTTCTGTCACCACCTGCTCTTTAACTTTGGGGGCCTTTGTGCTGTGCAGCTTTGGTTCAGATCCCTGACACCATTAGCCAGCCCACAAGCATAAGGGTCTCATCCTGGCTCTCATCAGTTACTACTCCGCAGGGTGACATCAACAACCCTTCCAGTGTCGAATCTTCTCAAATAAGTCCTCCCCAAGTTCTCAATTACCAGATGCTTGGACTGTTCCCCTCTGGTTGTCATCCCCAAAGGCATGAAACCAGTCCCCCTGACACCATCTTATTTTGGCATAAATGTGCTACACACCAGAAACCTGCTTGGGATAAGTATTTAAAAAAAGTTTATTTAATAGAAAAATCACAGATTCAAAGATGAAATAATAAGGGAAAGCAAACATAGAAACGTTACACAGAAAATAAATGTAAAGATTTAACCACAGGTTTTACACTTTCATGTTAGATAAAAATCTCTTTTCTAATCCAAGTTACCTATTGCCTTAAAACAGTTTCTCAGCACACTATACAAGCATTCACAGACAGCCTCCCACCATAGGTGCTAACTCCGTGGGTGCTCCAGGGCTGGAGCACCCATGGGAAAAAAATTGTGGGTGCTTAGCACCCACCAGCAGCCAAGCTCTCCTCTTCCCGCCCGCACCTCCTGCCCAGAGCAGATCAGCTGTTCCGTGGCGTACAGGGAGGAGCGGGGACAGGGTGAACTCAGGGGAGAGGGAGGAAAGAGGCGGGGTGGGAAGAGGTGGGTGGGACCTTGGGGGAAAGGGTGGAGTGGGGCCGGGGCATGGCATTGAGGCGGGGGGTCAAGTACCCCTGGGTAGAGAGGAAGTCAGCGCCTATGCCTCCCACCACAAGACTGTCCCTCAAATTCTGGATAAAACCCCTCAGTTCTGAGCCTGCTTTTAAAAGGCTTTTTTCTTTTTTTTTCTTTTTTTTCTTTTCTTCTCTCTCAGTCCATGGTGACTGAATAACCACACTCAGAATGAGGAAATTTCCCCTTGACATGAGAGCTGGGATGTTCTTTTCAATTTTGAGCTGTGTCAATGTCTTTCCATTAACTCTAAGGGTCCATTATTGTCTTTTACTGAGCTGGCCCATGGACAGTTACTTGATGTTTCATGTAAACAATTAGCTTGGGAGGCGCCCGACCCCACTTGACTGCTCACCACCCTGTTGTGAGGTGTAGCTGAAGTTGCAGCACAGATCATGGTCACAGTTTTTTATAGACACAAATAGATAAATTCATAACCACCGTCTGCATACATATCTCATAATGACTATCCATATCAGAACATTACAAGCTTTCATAAAACAGTTTAGTCACTATATTTTATTGTACATGAACAATGTACACAATCAGTTGATTTAACTGCTTATTTTGGGGGTATCAACCTTCTGTCCTCCCCTGGGGATATCTGGACTCTGATTGTTAGAAAGAGCCAGCGTGGACGGGAGCTAAGACAGACAGGGCATTATACGAAAATTGTGACACAGAGGCATCCTCACTTTCTGGCTTCAGTCATGTGGTATGGGTCAGGATTACAAAAGATAATATCCCTGATCCAAGATTCCCTTGCCCCTTGCATAGCAGACAACAAAACAGCTCTCTCTCCCCCCTCCCCTTCACTTGGCTAGTCACACATAGACTCTGTGCCCATGCCAGTGCAATCCCCTCCCCTTGCCACACTGATAGGCAGTGAATAACAATTGAAGGTAGATAGCACACTACCTTCCCTAAGTGTGAATCCCTCTTAGGATGGTGAAGGGAAGAGCACTTTGTAACTCCTTGCACCAGCCATAGTGAATGTGGCCTCTAGATTTGTGATTAAAATCTCAGTCTAAACCTCGCATTAGGATACGGTTTCTTTGCACAGCTGTATGTACAATTGAATATATAATCTATGCATTTCAGTAGTAAATGTGCTCTTCTATAGAATCATAGAAATGTTCGTCTGTAAAGGATCTCGAGAGGTTATCAAGTCCAGCCCCCTAGGCTGCGGCAGGACAAAGTATACCTAGGCCATCCCTGATAGGTGTCCTTAAAAATCTCCAGCAATGGGGATTCCACAGACTCCCTTGGAAGCCTATTCCAGATCTTAACTACCCCAATAGGTAGAAAGTTTTTCCGAAGATCTCACTTAAATATCCCTTGCTGCAGATTAAGCCCATTACTTCTTGTCCTGCCTTCCATGAACATGGAGACCAACCTGGATCCCAATAAGATGAACATGGAGACCAATTAATCACTGTCCTCTATAACAGGTCCTAACATATTTGAAGACTATTATCAGGTCCCCCCTCTGTCTTTTCTCAGTACTAAACATGCATTATATACCATAGTGTACATGATATACATATGTTTTCCAAGACATGAATTAAATCCATCATGACACCCAATAGTTAAATTTCATCTAGATAAATATACATTTCACTTACTTCATGTATGTAAAGCAAAGTTTTAAATAGGTTTGTATTTTGGATACATTTTACCACAGGGGAATTCACTGGCTCAGGCTATGATGCACTATTACAAAAGGTGACATAACATAATTCTTTGTGACAAAACAAAGCTTACATGGACAAAAAAAAGGACATTTAATTAATTATCCCAAATGATACATTTTATTTTATCAAAGTCTCTCCCAGATCACTTTAAAAAAATCAGGTAAACCTAAATAAATATTCAAACCGTTGCCTTTGCACTTCTGCAGTGGTTCTCTTCTCTCAATCTATATTTCCTTTAGTATTACAAAGAAAACCTTGTGTGAGAAAGTGTACAATGCATATATTGTAACTATCTAAGAACATGTAATATAAGAACTGTGTGTATATGCACACATAAAAATATATGTAAGAATATTGAACTATAATTCTTTACAAATTCAGTAAAATAATATATCTGAGATTGTCCCAGCAATAGAGACTGAAGCAGCTCTGTCAAATATTTCATTAGTAGCTATAACATTGTTAGGTTAATATAAAGGAAGAATGGCTGGCACCAGTTAATTATAATAGGGTATTATCTGTTCATGACTTCCAGATAGCTACTGTACCCTTCCAGCTAATACTCCTCTGACATGTCATGAATATTTCACCAATCTTAATTAAAGCTAAATCCTTTACCTGTAAATTACACAGAATATTGAACTTATATGTAAATCACTTTGGCATTTGAAAGTTCATCAATATTCATTTTAACTTGGTTGGAATGGTCCCTTCTGCTGTTCCTGCAGGCAAGTAAAGCAATTTAGTCATGCATGGGAATCAGACTGTATTAAAATGAAATAATCTCAGAGGCTGCTATTTACAGGTTTAGTTTTTGTCACAGTTTATGGGGGAATAAATTAATCAAGGGGAATAAAAATAAATGGCTATCACTGCTGCTATTATTGTTGCAACATCGGAGGTGTTTGAAAGAAGGACTAGCTGAATTTTTATTTGCTGAGTTACAGCAAAAGACTTACTAGGCCATCTTGCCAGATGTCATCAATAAAAATTTACAGAATCAATCAACTGTGATCTATTGAATGTTAGAGAAGTTCACAAAATAAATGAAGACTTTTCCTGAAAGACAAATAAGAGATTCCTCCTAGCTCTCCCTCCCCGCTTCTCCCAATATATATACACATATATTTGGCAGTGACTTTATTATTGTCTACTCTGGGCTGTTGTCTAATGTAGTTGAAGGTATGGGGCAAATCCCACAAATTTTCACTCAAAGTTAATAATACTAGCAATAAAGCAACAATTTGTAGTATTTTAGATTTCATGATCATACCAGTTATCTCTTTTTAAATTTTTGTCTAGCTGTTTTGATTTAATTTCAGACAGCTCCACACCTGTCAAGAAGGTGATGTTTCCCAGATTAATTCAGTATTGCATGCAGTACTGAGTTGACTGTTCCACTCTACCTTCAAGTAGATGCCTGTGTAGTTTAGATTCTCCAATTGTCTAAAGAGCTGTGAGGAGGTCTGTTAGGGATACTAATTAACCTCCTTTCAAATGCTTAACTTTCTGACCCAGCAGAAAAACCCCAGCTTGCAAGATGGGATCCATTCAATCTCTTACATCAGCATAGCTCCCTTTCTCAGAGGTGTGAAAAATCCACACCTAACATAATTGTATGTTGTAAACCCAGTACTACTCATCCGGCTTGCTAGATACTAGTATGTCTATGAAAAACTCCTCAACCAGATTGTCTTTAACTGAATACACTTGACTTTTCTGCATATGGGATCTGCAGAATTTTACAAAATGTTTATTTTCCCCACATTTATGACAGCGTTTCCCAAAGGCAACACACTGTTTGGGACCATGCTGTGATCCACACCTTCACATGACCATCTGTACCTAATATTTCTCCTACCAGTGGTTTTCATAGCGAGTGGTTCTGCTCTTTGATTTGACCTATTCTGGCTATATTCTTTTGTACTTAGTACATGGATAACCCCTTCTGGTGAATTCAGCTCTTTGGCTTGTGCTTTCACAGTTTCTGTGCCCTGCATATTTGGAGAGCTTTTTTTAAAAGTTGTCTCCTTCATAGAGCAGTCTCTCTCTTAGGGCATGGCTACACTTGCGAGTTAGAGTGCATTAAATCAGCCCAATGCGCTCTAACTCACAACGTGTCCACACTGGCAAGGCACGTAGAGCGCTCTGACTCTGCAGCTAGAGCGCTCCTAACACACCACCTCGGCGAGTGGAATAACATTTGATACGCCCCCACTGGAGTGCCGCAGCACCAGTGTGGATGCCCTAACCTGTTAATGCGCTCTGATCGCTCCAGAAGTGTCCCACAATGCCTATTCTACCCACTCTGGTCATCACTTTGAACTTTACTGCCCTGCCCTCAGGTGACCAACCATCAAACCCGCCCTTTAAATTCTCTGGGAATTTTGCAAATCCCCTTCCTGTTTGCTCAGCCAGGCGTGGAGTGCGCTCAGCGCATCTTTCCAGATGACCATGCCTCTATGCGCCAGGCGATCCCCAACGGCGAGGTGCTGGACCTCAACACTGTTTGTGTGGAGGAAGCTGTCCAGTCCCAGCTGCGCTCCAGCCGTAGGAATTACGATACTTTTGGGCAGATGTCAAGGGACATGATGGAAAGGGGCCATGACCGGGATGCAGTGCAGGGTTAAAGTGAAGGAGCTGTGGAATGCCTACCGCAAAGCCCGTGAGGCAAACAGCTGCTCCGGTGCTGCCCCCGCAACCTGCCGTTCTTACAAAGAGCAGGACGCGATACTTGGGGACGACCCTACCTCCATGCCGAGTACCACCATGGACACTTCAGAGCACAGTCCAACAAGGCAGGAGGAGGAGGAGCAAAGCGGGAGCAAGGGTGCTGAGGAGGAGGAAGACACCCCGGCATCCCTAGATGCATGCAGCCAGGAGCTGTTCTCAAGCCAGGAGGAAGGTAGCCAGTAGCGGCGGCCGGTGCTTGGGGAAAGACAAACACCAGAGGAGGTTCCCGGTAAGCGGCTTTTATTTTGGGAAGGAAGTTATTCGGTGCAGGCTCTTGGGGCAAGGAGGGTTAGGGCTGCATGCATGCCTAGATGCAGAGTAGGGCATTGATGTGCTCTCTCACATTGTGGTAATTGGCCTCAGTGATCTCTTCAAAGGTCTCACCCAGAACTTGGTCAATGCACTTGTGCAGGTTTTGTAGGAGAGCCACCATGGTCCTTGTCCCAGTCAGGCTAACATGTCCGTGCCACTGTGCCATGAGGGGTGGGGGGACCATTGCTGCACACAGGCAAACTGCGTATGGGCCAGGGTGGAAGCCGCACTGTGGTAGAAGACCCTCCCTTGCTTCCCAGGTCACCCTCAGCAGTGAGATACCTTCCAGGATGAACTCCTGTGGAAAATGTGGGGACAGTGTTCAGTATAGGGGCCCCCTGCAGCTGTTGGCTCTCCCCAAGGCACAAAAACCCAGAGGACAGGACAGCCATGAAAGAATCAGTCCCCCTTGATCCTGTGCTTACTCACCATTTTGGGACTCCCGGGGGTTATATGCGCTCTCTTTGGGACAGGCAAATTATGCGATTGTGTAGACTGTGCTTGCGCTCCTTAAGTAGAGGAGAATCATTGCTCTGTCTGGTGTGAACATGCTGCCTCTGTTAAGTGTTGTATTTTGCCTTTACAGATGCAACCTTGAGATCTCAGCCATCCGTGTTATCACTGGCTGAGAGGCTGCAAAGAATCAGGAAGAGGCCACGCAGAAGCAAAGAGGACATGCTGCATGAAGTCATGCAGCACTCCCTTAATGAAAATCAAAAAGTGCAGGAGTGGCAGGAGAGTGAAAGAAGGGTCCGCCAGCATAATGCGGATTGCTGGGACCAAAGCACAGAGTGGCTGATAAGCATTATGGAGCACCAAGCGGACTCAATCCAGGTGCTCGTAGCCATGCAGGAGGAGCACTACCGTGCCCCCCCCCCAACCCCCTCGCAGCCCTTGTCCCAAAACTCTTTCCCTTGTGCCCCCATGTCACCTCCAACCCACTTTCCCCAACATCCAGGTTCTTATCTCCACCAGCTCCCTCCAATACCAGTAGCTTCACCACCCAGACCTGAAAACTATGACCCTTACCCACTGCATTCAACCCCCATCACCATGCAGCATAGCCTTCCTGAAGTGCAGCACTCATTGCACAGCACTCCAGACGGGAAGGCTGAGTATGATAACAGGACATGCACAAACATGTGATTGTACCGTTCCCCACTCCACCCCCTTGCCCTTTGTGTTTCCCAAGCAGTTGTGTTTCTTTTCAATAAATGCATTTTCTTTTCATTAAATGGATTTTTTTGCTTTGAAAATATTCTTTATTATTGCATAACATAAAATATACCTTAGCCCAGGAAAGCAACAGGCACTGCAAGTCAGTTTATCATACGTAGCAAACACAGATTCCTACTAACATTGGAACCACTGCACTTCACTCCCGTGCAGGGCACCAGACTTTACTGGTAGCTTTCAGCCTCAAATTGCTCCCTCAAGGCATCCGTAATCCTTGCAGCCCTGCTCTGGGCCCCTCTAATAGCCCTGCTCTCTGGCTGTTCAAATTCAGCCTCCAGGTGTTGAACCTCCGAGTTCCATGCCTGAGTGAAACTTTCACCCTTCCCTTCACAAATGTTATGGAGGGTACACCACACGGATATAACTGCAGGGATGCTGTTATCGGCCAGGTCCAGCTTCCCATACAGAGAGCGCCAGCGGCCCTTTAAACGGCCAAAAGCACACTCCACAGTCTTTCTGCACCGGCTTAGCCTGTTGTTGAACCACTCCTTGCTGCTGTCAAGGCTCCCTGTTTAGGGTTTCATGAGCCACAGCATTAAAGGGTAAGTGGGGTCTCCAAGGATCACAATGGGCATTTCGACTTCCACTACAGTGATCTTCTGGTCTGGGAAAAAGTCCCGGCTTGCAGCTTCCTGTACAGGCCAGTGTTCCAAAAGATGCGTGCGTCATGCACCTTTCTGGGCCAGCCTGTGTTAATGTCAATGAAATGCCCACGGTGATCCACAAGCGCCTGGAGAACCATAGAGAAAGCCCTTCTGATTAACGTATTCGGAAGCTAGGTGGGCTGGTGCCAGAATTGGAATATGCGTCCCATTTATTGCCCCTCTGCAGTTAGGGAAACCCATTTGTGCAAAGCCAGCCACAATGTCATGCACGTTACCCGGAGTCACTGTTCTTTTGAGCAGGATGCAATTAATGGCCCTGCAAACTTGCATCAACACGATTCCAACGGTCGACTTCCCCACTCCAAACTGGTTAGCGACTGATCGGTAGCTATTTGGAGTTGCTAGCTTCCAGATTGCAATACCCACCCACTTCTCCACCATCAGGACAGCTCTCAATCTCGTGTCCTTGCGCCGCAGGGTGGGGGCGAGCTACTCACATAGTCCCATGAAAGTGGCTTTTCTCATCCGAAAGTTCTGCAGCCACTGCTCGTCATCCCAGACTTGCATGACAGTGTGATCCTATGACTCAGTGCTTGTTTCCCGAGCCCAAAAGTGCCATTCCACGGTGGTGAGCATGTCCAGGAATGCCACAAGCAATCTTGTGTCGTATGTGTTACTCGCGTCGATATCATCGTCGGAATCCTCACTGTCCCTTTGCATCTTAAGGAGTAACTCAACTGCCAACCGTGATGTGCTGGCGAGACTCGTCAGTATATTCCTCAGCAGTTTGGGCTCCATTCCCGGAGACCGAAAGGGAAGACAGAGCGCGCAGTACA